CACACCTGGGGTTTAGAGTTGCAATAGTTTGGTGTGGAGCTTTGGCTTGTGGGGTTTTGGGTGTTTTTTTGCTTCTACTTTAGGCTGCAGACTTACGAGCCCAAAGTTCTGTCGAGGGATTCTTCTTTGGGGCCTACTCTTTGGAATCCTTGCAGGTATTCTTAGGTAAGAAGTTGTCTACTGAGCCTACTTGTCCCCGGATCTGCCTGAGGTTCTTTCCAAGGGCTGCGTAGAGAATCGTACCCTAGTCAAGCCGACGCCCCACATCCGAAACCCTGAATCTCAACGGAAAAAGTACCCAACGACCGACTGCCCTGCCAGAACCAGAAGGCCTGCTTTGCGGCGGCCATGCCCGCCACGCTACGGGTTGAAATGCAAATGCCAGCGGAGAGAAAAACCTGGATGCGTGTCTTTATTCACTTACCCAAGCCAACGCTCTTGTAATAGCGATATATTCATCAGAAGCTTGTTCGAAAACGTCTTCACCGGTGTTTGCAACTTTAGAGTTTAAGGGTTTGGGGTTTAGGGCCCACGGTCTGACCAGAACACAGTCCCAAACAGGGAATGTCTCGTAAATGCTGGGCGCTTCGTAGGGTTTAGGGTTTAGGGTTTAGGGTTTTAGGGTTTAGGGTTCAGGGTTCGTAGTATGACTGAAGCTACATAGATTAATGCAGGGGCCTCGGTCTCGGAATCAGCTGCCCCAACATAATCTGAAGATAATATGACTATTCCTTACGTCATACCGGACCCTAAAACACTAAACCCTACACCCTAAACTGAACAGCCTAAACCCTGAGGTAAACTAGAATCGGGATTAACTAGTAACGGTATCCCTTTAAAGGAGCCGTCTTCTAGTATTTAGTATTTAATATTACCACACGTGTTCCCCTCCCCGCAGGGATTTTCTCTCACGGCTTGACCTCGCTTCCAGGAGCTGCCGCGCCAGGGGCGGAGGCAGCCCGGCGGAGGACTCTCCTCGGGCCTTCCCGCTTTAGGGCCTCCTTAAGGGACTACTGACGACTATAAGAACCTATGAGGGGTCCTTCAAGGGCTCCTTAAAGGGTTACTAACGGTTACGACAAGGCTTGTTCTGTAAGGGTTGTGTTTAAAGTTGTGTTGACATCCCTTTGTCTGCCCGCCTCAATCGGCTCGCAACTAGACATCCTTGCTCAGAAAGTCACCAAAGTCACCGAGACAGAAGACGACGGGCACCCGTTAAAATCCGTTAAAACCACCAGCCCCACACCGAGACAAGACATCCACGTCGTCCAGACAGCACAACCATCAGCCCAAAGACGTAGAAGTGGACGGCCGCTGTTTAGGGTTTCGGGTTTCGGGTCTTGGGGATTAGGGTTTAGGGTTTTCTTCAGGGTTGGGGCAAGGGTTCATATCCTGTCTTACTGAACCCGAAATCAACCGAAAGCCCCTGCTCCCCTACCTTAAACCCTAGACCCTAAACCCGAAACCATAAACCCAAAACCCGAAACCCCGAAACCCCAAACCCTGAACCCCGAGGCCCGAAAAACCTGGCTTCAGACCGGTTCCCTCGAACATCCTTCGGGCACCTCCAGGCATGCCCAGGGCCGTGCGGCGCAGCGCGGAAGCGCCGGGGCGCCTGCGCGGGTCTCTCCGGAAACTGAGGAAATCAAAGACAACACCACTGAAGACAGTCGCATGAGGATACCACGAGTAAGAGCAGAATGAATCAGCAAAGATGTTCTGCATGCCACCGCGTTTAGATGCAGTCACCCTCAACCCTGAACAGCTAGTAGCATGAACTGGTGCCGCCTGCCGCATCGAAGAGAAAGCCCCAGGCGATAGGCGCCACAGGCCTTGGGCTTGTCGCTTTAGAGCTGAGTTCTTTTGCAACTCAGCAATGAACGTACAACCGTGTCAAGGATCCCTCTTTAATTGAAGGGATACTTAGAAGTTCAGGCGACTTAGTAAGTAGGGTTATCAGCACGCTCATTAGGGTTATAGCTAGATAACTATAAATGGGGCTATAAGTAGGTTTAGCTTATAGTTACCCTACATCCATCCTAAGGAGGTCCCTTTCGCAAGCGGCAAAGGGACCGTCGAAGGAACCCTGCAGGATTTAAGGTTGAAGTCTACAGGGCTCAGAGATGACCCTTAACAAGAGCCCCTAAAAGAAGAGAGAGGAGCCCCCAAAAGCAACCCTTTTAAAGGAACCTCAAGAGAGGAGCCCTCAAAAGGAGCCCAAAGGGCAATCCTCGAAGGAGAAAAAAACGCTCCGGGCTCCCGGGCTCTTCCGAGAGAAGGGGAGGCAAGGAGCGACCCTGGCAGTCGCTGTTTTGTAAGGGTTCAGGGGTTTAGGGCTTTTGGGGCTTAGGGTTAGGGGTTACGGCTTTTGGAGTTTTTGGGTTTTGAGGTTTGCGGTTTAGGGATTTGGGTGTCGGGATCAATCGCAGCGGCGCTCGCTCGAGACCTTTCAGGATCAGAGGCCCTTACAAAAGCCCAAACGGCTTATTGCAAGCCGTGAAAACTCAAGCATCTTCAGAATTGCAAGATGCCAGATCCTCTAGCCTTCACGTCGGGAAGCCCTATAGGGTTCCTTTCAAACTTCCTCCTCCCCCCCCTCCCCCGCGCCACATTGGAAAAGCAAATAGCAGCGCCTCCCGCAGGAGGAGGGCAGAGGCAACAGCTGGGCCCTTGGCCTCGTGGGAGACTTGCAGTGAGGGCTTCGGCTTCAAAGTCTGCAAGTGGAGCCCCTGTCTTTCACCTGAACAGACTCGCACTTCGGGCCCCGAAAAGGGGGACAAGACTGGGCCTGCGCGGCTTTGATGGCCGCTGCAAAGCTGAGGATGTCGGGCTTTACCTGCGAAGCCTGCGGCTTTCGATTGGTGTCTGGGTTGGTGGATGTAGAGGGCTGCTTTCGACTTCGGCCTTCAGGACGCCGTACGACTTCACGTGGGCTTCTGGGTTTGGAGTTGTGGGATGCTCGGATTCAGGGTCCAGGACATTCCAGGCATCTGGGACTTCGGGGTCTTTTGAGATCCAATGTGGTCGAGCGATGATTGCGAGATCCTGCTCAGCAAGACGGTGGGTTTCGAGAGGCGCAGAGTCTTTGAGGACCAAGAGTTTCGGTTCCTAGCATCCAACGGTCCAGCCTGTCTGATGACGCAAATCATGGAAGTCATCGTTTCGAGATCCCTTCACATCCCATTCCAAGGATGTCCGAAAAGATGCTTGCAGCCCCAGACAAAAGCTTGTAACAGACGGGTTTCGGGTTCTGGGGCTCCGGGACTCCGGGCCGGAGAATTTTTGGGGACGCACGCGGTGAGAGCCAGGGTCGATGACAGAAACTGTAAGGGAAACCTGAGCAACCCAAGCAACCATCGTAGAAGAAGGCGACCCAGTCATCCTAGGCCCAGCTCAGGACACGTTGCGAGCACAGCATCCATGCCTCCGCCTCCTGCAACAGCTGCAGGCTCCTTGCACATCTTGGTGATGGAGGATTTACTGGTGCTTTGCGGCCCTGTTATCAAGAAGATATGGGGTCAGCCTATATCGCTGAGCTCCTAAGTTGGTAGAATCCCCATAACCCTCAACCTCCTATCCCGAAACCCTAAACCCTAAACCCTAAAGCCCTCAACCCTGAAGCCCTAAAAACCCTGAACCCTAAAACCCCAAAACCCTAAACCCTAAACCCTATAACCCTATAACCCTAAAACCCTAAACCCTAAGAGATAGCCCTCAACCTCCCATACCCTTCGGGTCCAGCGCCACTGCGCCGAAGCCGGCAGTGCTGCCATGGTCGCGTTGAAGCTGGCTTGGTCCGCCTGCGCGCCGAAATTAGGATCCCTGTTTTAAAGGGATCTATAATAAGAGTTTCAAAAGGGTGTCTATAAGGGTTGTGCATGGGTAGTTCTCTAAGATAGGGTTCCCTTTTAGGGTCTCTTTTTTTGGTAATGCTGCCGTACTATATTGGGGACAGACTACTAGCATTATGACCGTGAGCTGCGGGCTTAGGCTTTAAGGCTTCGGGCTTACGACGGTTTCGGGTTTTGTTGGAGCTTCATTCTCCCAGTATCAACCAGTATCAACCACTTGTACCCCACCACTCAACACTATGCTGCTTGCGCTGCCAAGATCCGTCCGAAAGTTGCACTCCAAGCATTCCAGTCCCTAGCCCAACTGCCTGTACCCAAACCGCAACCCCCTTCACTCTTTCCATCCCTGAACCCTCTTGCCCTGAGTGCTCAGACCCCCCAAACTCTGAATTCCAAAATCATCAAGCCCTCCATCCCAAGCTTGACAGCATCTTTAAACCCAAATATTAAGCCCATGTCGTGCCATCATAGACATAACAGTAGTCATAATGATAAGAATAACCATAAGAATAACAACAACAGTAATAGTAGCTTATGACAGAGCGTCGTCCAAAATCGACCCCCTGCTTCGGACACACAAAAACAAGCCAGGAAATGCCCTCGCCTTCAGTGCCTTGCGTTTCAGCTCCTCACCGCCGGGACGTTGGGTTTAGGGGTCTGGGGTTTGGGGTTCAGGGCTTGTTTGGCAATTCGCTCTTTTCTTGCTTAGAAGGGGCGGGGGTAAGGTCGCCTTGCAGAAAAAGTCGAAGGCTACCTGCTCAAGTACTGAGTCATCTTGATCACTCTTGTTATAAGAGCATTGCCATTGCAATTCGGCTACGAGTGTAAGCCCGGCAAGCCGAAACCCAAGGGCCCTAAAGCGGAACCCCGAGGCCTGTAAGCCCTGTAAGCCCTGAGAAAGCCACGTCTTCCCTTCAACTGCGAGCTTGGAGCTTGGGGCCTAAGGAAGTGAACAATGCTCGCAAAATTCCCATACATGGCCCCGGCTGGTGAGGTCCCAAACCCTGAACACAAGAAATCCCCCAACGATCCCAATGCCCCTTCATCAAGTAATATACCTTAGATCACAAAAATATTAGGAGCCGCCCTATAATTGAAGGTGTATTCCCTAATTAAGGGATACTGGGATCCCTGAGCCTAACTCCGGGCCTCCATCAGAGCCAGGCTAGCTTGCCAGGCACCCCGCGCTCCGGCCGCCCGGAGCGCTGTGTTGAAGCTGACGAGGTCCTGCGCTTCGAGGATCAAACGGACGTATAGGGCGGCCTGAAGCTCGGAACCCCAAAGCCTCAAACCGCAACCTGATGCCCCACTTTCCCCAAGATCAAAATCAAATTCCCCCAACCCCAGAAACAGACAGACAAGAAGCGGGCATCGCGCGGTCCGGCTGCAGCTCATCCAAGCGCATCAGCTCCAGGCATTCTAGAGCGTAGGGCCAGAAATCTCCTGGGCCCACAAAGCCGCAAGGGCTCAGAGTTGAAAGGTTCAGGGGTTTAGGCCTTTTTGGTATGTAAATAGAGGTTTCTTTTAAGGTTTAGGACTTTAAGGCTTTTTCATGAATGCCTTTAAAGCTTTTAGTCGAAGGCCTGATCCCCTTGGACAACCAGCTTCCGGGGCTTTCGGGGTTCAGGGCTCCTGAGATCTTAGGGTTTCGGGCTTAGGGATAAGGGTCGAGGGTGTTTTTCGCAAGTTTAGGGTTTCGGATTTAGGGTTTAGGGATCTTGGCGGTTTACGGATGAAGGATTTATGGGGGCTTGACAGGGCGGTCCGGGCTCCAGGCTTCGGATTTCGGGGGCCTTAGGATTGTAGGGGCTTTTGCAATTTAAGGGTGTAGAGTTCAGGGGCTGGGTTTTTGTGGGCTTAGGGCTTTACGGCTTCCGGTTCTTGGGGGTTGGAGCTGGGGAAGCCTTCAGGGATCCCGTGCTGCAAAGAGATGTCCAAGAAAGATCCGGCGGGCACATCCCGGCTACTTGACCCTCCAAAGACTGCCAAAAGAACCGCGGAACAGTGCAGAAACCCATCCCAGGAGACAATGAGGGGTGAGTCGAGACAAGAGAGACTGCTGGGGGAAGTCAGCTTCAGAGTTGAGGCTGCGGACTGTGGGCTTCTTGGCGTTCGGAGCTGAGATCTTAAGATATCTGGTTCCCTGTTGCGACCATATCTAACATGATCATTTTGAATCCTTATTGGGTTTTATTATAGGAAAATGTAAAAATTGTATCCAACAAGGACCCAGAGTCAGTTCAGGGTGTAAGGTTCCGGATTCGGGCCTACCATGACTTCGAAAGCAAGACCCGCAGTTGCCCAGACCCACGCCCCGTGACGGAGGTCCTTCCCAGTCCACGAAGGAGCTGATGGTCGTGTTGTAGGAGATGACGTTGGGAGTGATGGGGCCTTTTGATTCAAAACTTGAAGACGTACCCGGTGGTTCCAACTAACTACGCCTTAAGTCTTTTTGGTGCTGTTTTGCTTCAGAGCGAGAGCTTCATCTCCAGATCCTTGCAGATCGGCCTTGTCGCATCTCCTCAAGTAAAAGCGTCGCGCGGTCCCAGCAGCGGCCCACGGCGAGGCCGCTGAGGGTGCTGTTAAAACCTCCAGCTCTTGGCTGCGGATGGCTGCGAGGTGTGGGGTTTAGGTCACAGGGCGAGTGGTCCAGGGCTTTGCTAGGCCTTCGGGCTTGGCATCATTTTGAGCCACCTTTTTATGCAGAACATCATGGTATACGACCTTTGACGGAAAGAAACTCTCCAACACACACGCTCAAGAACTTCTTGTCGTCAAACGTACTGCTGCTGCTTCATCTCTCTCCCTCTCCCTCTCTGTCGCTCTCCGGTCTTCGAGATTGGCCAAGAGGCTGATCACATCCAGCGCCCAGCGCCGAGCACTGGCAGATCGTAGGAGGTCCAAGCAATGGGCCCACTGGCTGCCTTCCCAGCTTCAAAGACTCCAAAATCGCCTAAGCCCTTAGTTCCTAAGCTTCCGCAACCCCTGAATCCTATACCCTGAACCCCGAGCCTTCGGAGCAAACCTCGGAGGCAGCAAAAGCGGACGAAGCGAGAGACATGACTCCGGTTTTTGAATCCGTTCGTCGATCTCTCCGCATGACCGCAGGGTTTGGAGCACTCGCTAAGGCTTCGGGTCTATACAGGACCTGCACGGGGGTTGGATGACTGGCTAACGGGTGCTCAAATCTTCAAGGGGCCACAGCCAGCCCGCACTTGGCCCGGCGGCCCTGCAAAACCTCCCACGCTCACCGAGCCATCCCGAAGCCCCTCCCTACTCCAACACAAAAGCTGATGGTACCAAAGCCTCCGAAGTTCCCATCCTCACCCCCCCCCCCCCCCCCCCC